GTTTTCCGTTAAACACTAAGGTAACAATCAATCACGATCTACTTTAATTATGAAATCTGAAAGTGATGGGGACTCGAACGAGTTTCGGTTCGAGTATTTAAAGGTATTGTGGAGACAACCCGATTAAATACAGCTTGATTAAATGCTATGTATATATAACATGCTATATTACTTAAAGGGGAAGTGTACACGCAAAAATCACTTTCTTTCTTTTTCTAAACAAAACGCAATTTTAGAATTAGTTAGTATCTGTGTTTGAAAATATAAACTGATTTTTTTCACAGTGAAAGTAGGAAGCTCAAAATAGTGTGAAAATGCTATGCCGTTATGAGGCCTTCGTTTTTCGAGCTAAACAGGCCAGAGTTATCCCCCTTAGATTATGACGTAATTGGTGCCAATTCAACTGGGTCCCTGTCTATTCTCAACGCAAAAGATATCAAGTACCAGTTTGCGGTAAAACAACATGGCCTACGACACACTCCGGCTCAGTGGTGACTCAGCATAACACTAGACTGGCTGGCATCTGAGACGCTAGAATCACACACCTGTACTTACACCACGTGAAGCGGCTCTAACAAAGCATGATGACGTCATAATGTTTATCAATTGGCACCAATGACGTCATATTGCAAGGGGCATAAGCCATGGTGTTTTTGGTCTGGAAATAGAACACTTGGTAAATGTGAAAAATATAAATCGTTTTAATGCAAAACATATGTTAATTAATTGTGATATTTTTATATTTTTGTCTATGACACTATTAGGTTAACACTTTTAATGTGCAAAAAGTACACGAAAAATAGGTTCATTTCCGTGTGAACTTGCCCTTTAAGCGGCGGTGGGTAGCCTTGTGGTTAAAGCGTTCGCTCGTCACGCCGAAGGCCCGATCGATTCCCCACACGGGTACAATGTGTGAAGCCCATTTCTGGTGCCCATGCCGTGATATTGGTGGAATATTGCTAAAAGCGACGTAAAACCATACTCACTCGTTCACTCACTACGTTATTTAAAGATAGACTGAAATAATTACATAATGCACGGATTTCTATAACAAGAAATATATCAAATTGAAAACAAATTATATTTTCATACATTACAGTTGTTGTTGGTTGTTTAACGCCGCACTCAGAAATATTCCAGCTATATGACGGCGGTCTGTTAATAATCGAGTCTGGACAAGACGATCCAGTGATTGACATCATGAGCATGGATTCATGCAATTGAGATCGATGACATGCATCAAACCAAGTCAGCGAGCCTGACCACCCGAACCCGTTAGTCGCCTCTTATGACCAAGGAATGGGTTGCTGAAGACCTATTCTACCCCGGATCTTCACGGGTCTCAAAGATTACTTTACACCCAGAGTCCCCTAACACCCCTATCAGTCAGTCAGCCACACTGATACCGTATTCGGTGTAATAAGCGCCCCGCTCTAATAAGCGCCCACGGCGATATTTGTTTATATATTGGCTAGTGAACAATCCCAATTAGCACCCCTTCCGATTGATCAATGTACACAAGACTTATTTATTCGTGTATAATACGTGTGTTATATGCATCCTTAACTGTGGGAAATTAGATTCTGGAAAAATACACCTGTCGTATATAAACATTTCAGGCTGTCAGCATAAACCACGAAATTTACGATCTTTTAACCCTGTTGTTTTTCACCAAAATAATATTCTAATAAGAGCCCCCTATTTCTTATTTTGAGAGCGCCCTGGGCGCTTATTATGTCGAATACGGTATAGGGAATATTTGATATGTTTCACCTTGCAATCGATTAAGCCTTAATACAAGAGGGTATTAATATATATGAGCTTATTACCTTCTTACGTGTCAACATTATTATCCTATTAAGTATGTGCAGTCTCTCATCAATTCCAAAGTGTCATTGATCTGGTAGTGCCAAGACTATTGTAAAGTTCGGGTGTTCGTTTAATACAAAGAGGAATTTAGCAATATGATTCGACCAAGCTATTATCACATTACTATCATAGTTATTATAAGAGTGAATGAGTAGGTGTCACTGCTACTCTGAATAGAATCAATATTAGCCATATGACGGTTGGTTATTGCAATCTTGAAAGAAACCCAAAATAACATACATAGGTCCTAGGTGTGTCCTACGAAAGCCTAATGGTGCCACTTTGGTAGCATAGATCCATATTTGTTTAAATCGAAATTTCTCGTTATTTCAATTATTTGTGTATTTTCTCGAAATGTGTTGCTTTTTCTCGTTGCTTCGATTATATTTTCGTAATTTTAGTTATTTCTCGTTTCTTCGAGTTAGTTCTCGTTATTTCAAGTTTGTTCCCAAAATTCGAAATTTTGAATTTGTTCACGTTTCTTTCATTTACTCGTTATTTCAATATTTTCTTGTTGCTTCCACTTTTTTCTCTCGTAATTGAGATTATTTTCTCGAAATTTCGATTATTTTCTCGTTATTTCAAGTTTATATTTTAAAAACTCGAAATTTCGATAATTTTCGAGTAACTTCAATTATTTTCTCGTTATTTCAATTATTTTCTCGTTGCTTCGATTTTTTTCTCGTTACTTCGATTTTTTTCTCGTTACTTCGATTATTTTCTCGTTATTTCTAGTTTATTAAAAAACTCGAAATTTCGAGAAAATAATTGAAATAAGCGAGCGAGTGAGGTGTAACTCCGCTTTAAACATTATTTCACATATATCACGGCATGCCTGCTTTATGTGGGAGAAATGACCGAAGTAGTGCTGGTAATAGACATTTAATCCTTTGACAAAACCCGCGATCGCGGACAAGGTGCTGACAAATCCTGAACCGGAATACGGACCAGCAGTCATAGTTTTTTGGCACGCCCAGGAGACACACAAATACACAGCCAATTGCGTCGCTTTTAAACGACCTTCATTCCACTACTTACCTAACAATAAAATATACTAGCAAAAAAGTATTTGCACAAACCAGTATATCTAATTGCGTCATGGGTCATTTACCAAGCAATGTATTCTTTTCTTATTTCCTGTCATAATTCAACTACCCCATACGATGATGAATCATGAGTATTACATTATTGTTTGTAAAACTTTGACTATTAAATGTAAACTTAATTTAACGCGTAACACGTGACATCTCAGTTTTCACTTTTATGTTTTTATGTGAAAAAAAGTCTGTTCCTACAGTCTGTCACAGGGTCGTAAAACCAGTCTAGTCTAGTGACCGTTCTGCTTCCCTCTCCCTTAATAACGACCCGTGAAGATTCCGGGGAGGAATAGGTCTTCAGCAACCCATACTTGCCGTAAAAGGTGACTATGCTTGTCGTAAGAGGCGACTAACAGGATCGGGTGGTCAGACTCGCTGACTTGGTTGATACATGTCATCGATCCCAATTGCGTGGATCGATGCTCATGATCACTGGATTGTCTGGTCCAGACTCGATTATTTACAGACCGCCGTCATATAGCTGGAATATTGCTGAGTGCGGCGTTAAACAACAAACAATCCAATCCGTTAATAACCCGCCGTCGACTCCGTTCGGCAAAGTTCGGCGGTCGTCAAACTCCGGTGTCTGTACGTTCATTGTTAGAGAATTGGTGACCCGTAAATTGTAGTCTCTAGCTGTTTAACCGCATCTTCTTATCATGTATTGATTTGATATATGTTTTCTTATATATGTTTGCTTCCTTACTCATGTATGGAAAATGTTTTAGTAACATTGATCTTCGCGTATTAGCGGGATTATCTAGTACTAGTCGATATTTTTTCTATATTTATGGTATTTTTTGCCTCTTCAATAATTGTAAATATCTGGTTATAAATCTTCATTAGTACCGTTGGATAACGCACGTTCAGTTTGGTATCTACATCTCCCACGTTGGTTAAGTAGTTAGTTTGCCATTCGGGGTTTCCCTATGCTTGAAAGACACTTTGTTTTGAGCGCCATTCTATAGCATTTCCCCTACTGACCCAGTGAGGTTGCTTTCTCCGAGGTCCGCGTGTCGCGTATAAAACTCTTGGCGAATTGATGTGTCTTCATCACTTGGTATCGATAGACCGTTTATGGGTCATCTTGCTAATAGGTTGGTGAGGACGAAACTAAGGTTTCGTTAGTTAGTGATTATGGGGAAGTTTTGTCTCTGGTACTGACATATTCTGGTGGTATTGAGCTAAAACGTATTACCTAGGCATTTATAACTCGTACCCCGATTTTCTTGTAATCCATGGATTTCTCGTGATGACTTAGTTGAGGTCAATAAGTATACATTTTCGATTGGAAGCCAAGTTACACTTTTTTTTACACTTTTGGTCAAGTACCTTTCTTAATGATTGTGGGTCTAGATACTCCGTAGTTCAAGTACCTTGTATTTTAGGGGTGTCTAGTGAGTGAGTGAGTGAGTGAGTATGGTTTTACGCCGCCTTTAGCAATATTCCACCATTATCACGGCGGGGGACACCAGAAATGGGCTTCACTCACTGTACCCATGTCGGGAATCGAACCCGGGTCTTCGGCGTGATGGGCGAACGCTTTAACCACAAGGCTACCCGACCGCCCAGGGGAGTCTGGTATTTCCTTTGTCATTTAAAGTGTCTGAGACTCTTGTCGATAAGACAAGTTTGCTTTTCAGGCGTTTTTTCGTCTATTTTATTGTCGACTTCTTTTAGGGATAAGCCCTCAGTGTTTACTTCTTCCTATCTAACCCCTTTGAGGTTATTCACTCATGACAGCGTTGAGGAAATAAACTCTTATTTGGCTGTTTATGCATCTTGCCCATTTTCTTATCAAAGTGTTGATTGAGCTAGTCTCCTTTTTTATCACTCTTATATAGATAACCAGCTTGTATATTTACTCTGATGTAATTAATCAGTGATCATAGTCAGTATAAAGTTTGATTTCGATTTTGATAATAAATCTGTGGGTTTTACTTTATTCTTGTTTAATGACATCATGGTCTCAGAAGTACACTCCGTGACAAAGCAACAATCCAAGTCAGCCAGCCTGACCACCCGTTCCTGTGTTTCAAACTCCCTGGTCCGCCTCTGGTCAGCAATAGTCCAGCTATATTGTGAAGGCCAGTTCATAATAGAATCGGGCAAGAAAAGATTCATGTTTACACAACATTAAGCGTGTCTTGCATCTAACTTATCCACTTATCCTCTTAAAGAATGAATATGAATAAACGTAAAAGGACAATCATGTTCCCCCATTTCTTTCAATCATTCCTGCAAAATCTTCTCTGATTATGATATATACAAACGGTCAACGCCAGAGAAAATCCGCCGAAAGAGATTCCTTTGGGCGCAAAAGGCAAAAAAGCGGTGAAAACAACTAGAAAAGCACATGCGGTAATTCTACCGTCATCCCTGTCCATTCTTCATCCTTTTCGCACACGCCCTCCAAGACACAAGCCGGGAAAAGATCATGTTAAGTCAGTGTCCTTTTCTTCCACTTCCATAGTGAAAGGCCGACTCCATAAACACAGTTTTACATTACCTTTAACATTGCGTGATATCAGTGTCTGGCCGTTACCAACACAAGGCTTTCTTCTCTTCCTAGGCTGTGTATTGTCACGGGAAGAGTATCCCCACCGAACACATCCTTCCCTTTTGTGCATTTAAATCAAGAAAACATTACACGAACGAACATTATTTTCATATTAAAAAAACTATGTAACGTTTCACAGTTCTTCGTCCACTTCCAGTGTAGACACATTGGTATTGGACTGGTGTCTTGTGAAGTTTTCTTTCCCATTGAGATGCTGGTCTTGTCGGCTAAATATTTTCGGGAACATCTTCCTTATGATTCTCTTAATCTCCGCCTGACGAAGAGCGTAGATTACTGGATTTCCCAGGGAGTTAGATGCGGCTAGGGTCATCCCTATACGACTGAACTCGTGACTGAACCGTTGGCGTCCTCTGATGTACGAGCTAATAATATCAAGGAAATGTGGCGTCCAAGACATCAGGAAGTAGCCACAGAGAAGTGCGAAAAGCTTTGCAGCCTTGAAGTGGGCGGCTAGCTGACTGGTGGCTTCATCCCGTCCTACTGCGATACGTCGGCGATGGGAGAACGCTACCCTGTAGGAAAGACATTTGGCATTAGGCATTCGATATTCTTAGGGGTCTGGAATTTTGTATGAAGGCTGGATATTTCAGATACATTTGCAAACATGTTTTAAAATAACTATGAAAAAAACATCTCGCAACAATGTCTTTTTGTGGCATACACATTCCTTTTTATTCATGTCGTCGATCCCAATTGCATGGATCGATGCTCATGATATCAATCACTAGATTGTCTGGTCCAGATTCGATTATTTACAGAACGCCGTCATATATCTGTAATATTGCTGAGTGCGGCGTTAAACAACAAACAAACAAACATACACTCACTCACTCTTCACTCACTATTGCTGAGTGCGGCGTAAAACAACCAACCAACCAACCAACCTTTTTTTCAAACCGCCGTAGGCATATTAATTATTTCGTTCAAGCATTCCCCGGGACAATTATTTTTTCTCGATACCCCAAACCCCCCACCTCAACGGATATCAAATGGTCGGTACCTTAGATGGAACTTATATTGACCATATCGATCATAAATAGTAGTGGAGTGATTATTGCTTTTTCGACGCACCTAACAATATTCAAGGTATATCAAAGTAGCCTGTGCATTATTTCGGACTGGGAAACCAGTGGTTTATTTCATAAGCTATGATCAATGTCGTCGTGATATTATTACACATAATCAGCCCCATACATTTCAACATCCCGATCTTCATTAGTCAGCTGTCACGAGAACCACAGGGTTTTTAATACCTTCATTGTCCACAAGGGGGCGCGGGTGGCCAGTCGTCTAAGGCACCACGTTTCGCTGTGCAGAGTCGCGTCCCTTGGGCACGCCAGAAACCTATGTTTGTGGGTTCGAATTCCGGTCATCCCCGATTATGTTTCTAGGTTTGTCAGCACCATACCCGTGCTCGTGGGTTTCACCGAGGTGGTAAACGTCTGAGACCTGCATCACTTTGGGCTCTCCTCCCACATTAAGCCAACACGCCGCGATATAACTGGAATACTGTTAAAATCGGCGTTGAACCCAATTCACTCACTCACTCATTGTCCACAAATCCCAGAGAAAGGTGGAATATTGAACCGCGCGTATCTTTGGTAAATGTAAAAATACTCTCTATAATACAATACTCAGCTAGCTACAGATTAGTTTTAGAGTCCATATAAAGATCCTGCACGTGTGATGGTTCAAATAGATGAAAACCCTCTTTAGGTATTGTTGTCATTGTTGAGGGTTCTCTTTAACATGCATAATACCCTTCATTTTTTACAAACGCTCTAGTGCCTTGAGGGATCAATTGCAAAATCAACGAGGCATTCTTAACAAACATGCGGACTTTTTTAAGAGTGAGTGACTGGCTTTGACTCGACGCCGCTTTGGAAATTATTTCCGTTCTCGTATCACGGCGTGCCAACTTGATGTGGGAGGGAAGCCCGAATTGATGCAAGTCTTATACCCTTAAACACTGTTATGGCGCTGACAAACCCATAAACAACCAGGGTGAATGTTGGATTCGAACCCAGGAACATAGGTTTCTGGCATGCTTAAGAGACGCAAATCTGCATTGTGAATTGTCGCATCTTCGACGACGGGGTCACCGTGCCCCTCTATTCCAGAACATGCCCCAAAATTTACAACGGAGTCATGATGGCGAATTCAGTTTGTATCCAAGAGGAAGATGCAGATGTTAGAATGGGAACTATTTTCCCATTTCTTGCCCAGTCGTCTAAGGCGCCGCGATTCGCTGTGCAGAGTTGCGTCCCTTGGGTACGCCAGAAACCTATGATAGTGGGTTCGCCCCGATTATGTTTCTAGGTTTGTCAGCACCATACCCGTGCTCGTGGGTTTCACCGAAGTGATAAACGTCTGAGACCTGCATCACTTCGGGCTTTCCTCCCACATTAAGCTGACACGCCGTGATATAACTGGAATACTGTTAAAATCGGCGTTAAACGCAACTCACTCACTCACCCTTGCCGGGGTAAAGGAGTTAATTGACTATAAAAGTTCAGTTTCCACCCTTGCCGAACTAGGTTGGAATTATGGAGTAATATTTTGGCTGGACTAATGAGTCTATGCATAGTCCAATCAAAATCGCGAAAGGAAATCGACATCCGGTTCGTAAACTGTCGTGCAGATTTCGGTCGATTGCAGGATTTGCAAAGCATGTGTCCCGCAAACTCGGCGTTAACAGATATTTTCCAATTTTTTTCATGCTTTTAATCAAGGTGCTCTAGTGATCTAATGCACTTCGGGAAGCAGGACACGTTTTAAAACAATATAGGTTTTGATTATCTTTCAGATCGTCTTTACTGGGCGCTGCCATTTTGTTTGAAGTAAATGCAAGTGATATGAGAGGTGGAATCTGATTGGTCAATAGGAGGGACATAAAAGGGACATAACTCGTAACAGCCACTGATGGCGCTACGATCGAGCCCAGAAATACCAATCTTGTTCGGCAGGGGTGGAAACTGGACTTTTTCCCTTGAGGATACTATTTTCAGGAATACACTACAAAAAATGACAATGGCGACAAAGCTGCGTATGTATATTTCGTACCTGTATATTTTGTAGTAAACGTACACCAAGATGGAGATGCAGATCATGAAGGTGCAACCGACTGTCAGGATGAAATACACTGGTGCCATGATGAACTCGGCGCTGCACGTACTGCCATCAAAGTCGTCCCTTCGTACCCCCATAACAGGGCTGAAAGCCATTACAGAACAGAATGTGAGGTCTATCGCTATGCCTATACCAACTCGCTTGTAGGTGACGATGTTGTAGTAATGAAGAGGACGTGTGATTTGGATGTAGCGGTCGATGCTGACGAAGATGAGCATATGCATTGACACTGATCCCGACATTATAGCCACGGAATAGACGAAAAGACACCCCCAGTAGCTTTGGAAAATGCCAGTCTCAATAAGTGATATTCCGGAAAGATTAAATCCAAATCCAAGGTCACCGAAGGCCATGACGCAAAGGATGACGTTTGTTGGCGAATGTAAGGAAGTGCTACGTATGAGGACGACAATGATGAAGATGTTGGCTATGACGATGAGGACAGACAGTAGCATGCTGAAACAGACGTCCACCAGTACCAATGAAGACGACATCTTTTGGTAGAGCTGTGTAAAAAAGAAGATGATTTGGTGAGTGAGTACGATAGCAACTGTTGTTCTACGATTCGGTCAGCAATGTTTCCACTGCAGCCTGTTAATAATCGAGTTTTATACAGGCAACCAGTGGTTGATATCATGAGCGACAAACAATCACAACATATTATCACCACATGTATTCAGCCATAACACTAGGCAAGGATAAAGTGAGTTTCTTCTGCTCTACAAATGGGATTCGAAACATAGGTTGGAACTATACTCTGCAAAAGAAAGGAAAGTAGTACAATCGTTTTTATCTGACAGTGCTGCTGACAACTATACAAAATTAATACCAAACGTGAATTAGTTATTTCTGCATGGATTGGAATATTTGTGTGGATCAAATGTGAAACAGCCACGTGAGAGCCTGGCGCTGAAACACACCCACATGACATGCACGTGCAACATCAGTTTTGGGGCTATAAATGTTTGGTTTAGTGACGAGTCACGTTTTATGCTTCGCCGAGCTGATGGTAGTCTTCGTGTTAACAGGCGTCGCGGGGACTTTATGCACGGAATTGCATACAGGAAGTGGACAGATTTGGTGGTGGTAGTGTGATGATGTGGGCGGAAATCCCCTACACCGGTAGAACAGAATTGATGCAAGTTCTGGGGAATTTAACAGCAAAACAGTTGTTTTTTGCAGGAATCACAACATCGACGTCCTGCCATGACCCTCCAGGTCTCCAGATTTAAACCCAAATCGAACATTTATGGGATGCACTGGATCAACAATTGCGAGGGCGTCAGCAACAACCACAGTAGCTCCGACAGTTGGCACAAGCTCTGCAGGCAGAGTGGGTGAACAATCCCCAAGCCACGTTTCGGGATCTGATTGCTTCCTTTGGACGACAATGCTAGTCAATTTGGACTCTTATGACGGCCATACAAGATATTGAGTACAGATGATCTTCGGCTTGGAAGTCTACTGTTCAATGTGTGCCATATGGAACCTGGTTCAATGACAATGGTGTGTGCCAATTTTGATCAATCGATTACCATCTGTTTATTATTTATATGATATATTAAATTTATATCTAAAATCACTTTTGCGTTTCCTTTTTTGTAGAGCACATTTTCGCTTTTCGTGCATTATTTACTTTCAACACACAGTATTCATGCACATATAATAGAAACGATCCGTTTCCGCTTCCATCGGATTGGTATTTGTAGAATTTAAGGTTTCATCTTTTACAGGTTTTACCCATTTCTGAGATTCACCGGCCTTGTGTCCTTAAAGTTCTTAGGGGGCACGGGTGGCCCAGTCGTCTAAGTCGCCGCGATTCGCTGTGCAGAGTTGCGTCCCTTGGGCACGCCAGAAACCTATGATTGTTGGTTCGAAACCCGGTTCGCCCCGATTATGTTTCTAGGTTTGTCAGCACCATACCCGTGCTCGTGGGTTTCACCGAGGTGGTAAACGTCTGAGACCTGCATCATTTCGAGCTTTCCTCCCACATTAAGCTGACACGCCGTGATATAACTGGAATACTGTTAAAAGCGGCGTAAAACAACTCACTCACTCACTCACTTAAAGTTCTTCGTAATTTTCCCTCTTATTACTTGAAATTATGGCTCTGAACTAAAAGTGATTGAGGATTTATAGTGTTTATAGTATTTCAGCCATATCGTGACTAGAAAATGAAATATATTAATAATATTCTTTCAAAACATGTCGACAATGGACAGTACAATAACGAGATTATCACAGATTATATTTATTAGTGTTACAGCATTAAAATGTGATAACTATAATTTGGCAGTTCTCATCCATAACAACCCATGTACTTGAGCTGCGTTTTAACAAGCGTTGGAAAAATTTGGAAAGATGGAAATGCGAAATACAAACCAAGTCTATAATATATACACTCAGTGAATTACGGTTATAACGAACTCAAAGGGACCCCTAGTTATAGTTCGTGATAACCGTAGTTTGTTGTAAGCATATATACAGCATAACTACAACAAATTGTCGGCGACAAATAAGTTCGTTATAGAACTGTAAAGCAATCCTACGTAAAGCGAGGTTTCCGGTTTAAAAGGGTCCGAATTTACTGGATTTCAAGATGTGTCTGTATTACTTACCTGGAACTTTCAAAGCACTCAGACGTTCCTACTGGTCTGGTCTGGATCAAGGCGTTAATTACACATGGAGTAGCTACATCGAACCGTTACAAACAGCTTACACTTACTGCTGAGTATAGGTCAGAACATATCACACAATGAGACGACGAACAATTGATGATTGGCATCGATAATGTCCTAACCAACCATTCGCTGACAAGATAGTGTGAGCGAGTAACTCTAACGATCGCGCTGTCGTTCTCAACTGACACACTGATACACTCAACATCATATGATTTGATATTCTGTCTGTCTGTTTGTGTGTGTGTGTGTGGGGGGGGGGGGGGGGGGGGGGGGGGGGGGGGGGGAATTTATATAGAATTTATAAAAAATTATAAAAGTAGGGGGTTGGGGTGTAAAATTTATAAAAAATAAAAAAGTAAGATTTTGAAAAAGAATCATGCCTCAGCAGTTTTAACAAAATGGACAATGTGAATTGTATTAACATGAAGCATCCTTGTTTTCCAGGTTGAAATATGGTCAGCCCAATTTTTAACGGTTAATTATAATTTAAAGTGGACATCGACATAACTAGGCATAACTAGAAGGATTAAGAATACCATATTTGGAGCCTCATACCAATTAAAAAAAGTAATTCAAGGGGCTTTATTTTTTTAATTGTTATTGAAAAAATATTCATTTGATAACCCAAACCTACATTTTAGAAGCTTGTGTTGTGGTTGAGATAAATATGTGCCTGCTATTTATTTTTTCATGCTGTTTATGTTCATCAGTGCCTTGTTGACCGATGTATCACGTATTGGAGATTTACGTGTACGCTGATATTACTTTGATTCAGCTCAAAAGATACCACGAGGATTTCAATTATCATCCAGTGACAGAGTAAGGCTATATCCACTGATACATTTTCAATATAATGTTGATGAAGAGGAGGCGTATGTCTGTGTAAAAATTGTTGCAGAAGCTTCGGTGGGGAAGGATGGCTTTTGGCATCTCGTTATAGCGTGTGTATGTTTAGATCATTAGCTGAGGATGAGGTATCTCTTATACCGGTGATTATTCCAGGCTACGGGGACATCAATTATATAGTTAAAATGATAGTGAGTGAGTATGGTTTTACGCCGCTTTTAGCACTATTCCAGCAATATCACGGCGGGGGACACCAGAAATGGGCTTCACACATTGCACCCATATCGGGAATCGAACCCGGGTCTTCGGCGTGACGAGCGAACGCTTTAACCACTAGCTATAGGCTACCCGACCGCCCCACTTAAAATGATAGAAACTGATGTAGCGACAGTGTTCCTGGCGTCCGACCATTGTATCTACTTGACACTACAGACATGGAGTACTTATGACAAAGTGGATCATTGTAACATATGTTATACTTGGGATAACATTTCGTAGTAAAATACAAATGCTAGTACATTTTTGGTTTGTTTTGCCGGAAAGTGTTGTCCACAAAATACATGTTACATTTGACCAAGTTCTAAAAGTATTGTGTATTTACAGATCATTGGTAGTACGCAACTCCACACTGAACTGTGTTAATGTTTAGTGAGTGAGTGAGTATGGTTTTACACCGATTTTATCAATATTCCAGCAATATCAAGGCGGGGGACACCAGAAATGGGCTTCACAACTTGTACCCATGTCGTGAATGGAACCCGGGTCTTCGGCCTGACTATGCTGATTTACTTCATAGCCTGAGAAGAAAAGGAAAGCGGTGTGAAATGCAGACTACTCGAGTTCTATTAATTCATGACAATGTCTATTCTCACACCTCTCGACTTGCAAAGGCTGCTGTGTGACTATATGGGTTCGAAGAGCTTTCTCATCTTCAATACTCGCAAGACCAGAAACAAAGTGACTCCACCTTTCCTAAACTGAAAGAATACCTTCGTGGAAAGCACTATGACGACAACGGTGATCTCAAAGCTGTCGGTAATGGGTTTTTGTAGGGTGGCTTGAAATTGAAAAGGTTCACTATCGATATGAGAAGTGTATTGAAAAGCAGAGAGATTATTTTGAAAAATAAAATTCAAAACACTTTCACAAGTGTTGGTTTTGTTTGTTAGGCTTAGACCCTTTTGACCGGCCCCCAGAGAAAGGTCTGACAGTGTATCGATGTTTAGAGAAAGGTCTGATAGTGTATCGATGTGTAGAGAACCGCCTGACACAGTTTTTCAATCTTTAGAGAACCGCCTGACAGTGTATTGATGATTAGAGAACCGCCTGACAGTTTATTGATGTTTAGAGAGCCCCTCGACAGTGTATTGATGATTAGAGAACCGCCTGACAGTATATTGATGTTTAGAGAGCCGCCTGACAGTGTATCGATGATTAGAGAGCCCCTCGACAGTGTATTGATGTTTAGAGAACCGCCTGACACAGTGTATCGATGTTTAGAGAACCGCCTGACACAGTGTATCGATGTTTAGAGAACCGCTTGACACAGTGTATCGATGTTTAGAGAACCGCCTGACACAGTGTTTCAATCTTTAGAGAACCGCCTGACACAGTGTTTCAATCTTTAGAGAACCGCCTGACACAGTGTATCGATGTTTAGAGAACCGCCTGACACAGTGTATCGATGTTTAGAGAACCGCCTGACACAGTGTATCGATTTTTAGAGAACCGCCTGACACAGTGTATCGATGTTTAGAGAACCGCCTGACACAGTGTATCGATGTTTAGAGAACCGCCTGACACAGTGTATCGATGTTTAGAGAACCGCCTGACACAGTGTTTCAATCTTTAGAGAACCGCCTGACACAGTGTTTCAATCTTTAGAGAACCGCCTGACACAGTGTATCGATGTTTAGAGAACCGCCTGACACAGTGTATCGATGTTTAGAGAACCGCCTGACACAGTGTA